TATGTTTCCACAATCAGAATATTTTTACCTAAAATTTAAAGTTACCTTCGCAATTCTCCACAATTTTAAGTCTATTAAATAACCCTATTGAAAGCATTTTTTTCATTCTGTAGGTAATTATTCAAAGGGACACTATAGTCACCCAGACCACTTTATCTCATGAGGACATCCAGCGTCAGTGAAATCCCTACAGCAATGATTTTCAATGGGGAGGGCCTAAAGCACCCTCCAGCGAGGGACATCAGAAGAGGCGATGCGCCTATCCAGAGCTGAGGGAGATCAGTGCTGGAATATGGTAAGTACAGGAAGGGTTTATTAACCCTTACACTGCCAGGGAGCAGCGAGGGAGGGAAGATTTGTATTCCTTACACTATAGAATCCATTTAGCCACAAATAGAATGTGAGGGACTGAGTATGTTTATTGATTAAAGCGGAATTCATACAGTGTAAGTAACTTGGAAATGGATCGGAGCCGGAAATTGATTACAACTCTTCTCTTTTGGCCTTAATTTTGCCAGCTTGGTTTTCAGTTCATCACAATTCAATGTTACTTTATCTATTAAAGCGTAAGAAATGCAAATCTGTATTAATAATGCGTCTCTGTTCCTATGTATATCCAGGTAACCCCCTTCTGTGTGCAGTAAAAATTAAACATAACTTTTCCCAACACCGAGACTCCCTCTGTTCTGTCTCCATCTGCACCTACCTCAACGTCCTCATCTGTGATAATCCAATCCTATGCATCTGATAGAGCAGCATTGGGGACATGAGGTGCGGCAAGAGCTGCATGTGCATCCGATTTTCAATCAATGCTTTCTAATTGGGGCGTTCACGTAGTCACTGATCTTGAAGCACCTTTAGTATGACAGTCACTAGAGGTGGCCTTAAACCTGCAATGTAAAAGCGACTGTTTCTAAAAAAATTCAATGTTTTACATTGAATGGTTAAAAGGACCATAGCCCCCCGAGCTCTATATTGAAATAAAATGGCCTGGCTATATTATATGAAAACATTTCATATAATATAGACAAGCTGTGACGTAGCTACGATGCATAACGTTTCCACATCACTTATTTAAAGAAATGTTATATTAGCTAAAATTCTTTGTTTATTGGTTTCGAAGAATAAACCCCGAGGCAACTGAATGCTGGGTGTCAGATTGAACGAACCCATCAGATTACAAAGTGCATCTCATAACAGTATTTCTAATTAGCGTTATTCAGCACTCAGTTAGTTAATGGAGGGTGGAGATGAACTATTCTTCATTATTTGACATTTGGGGTGTGTACATGGCATGTAATGCCTTTATAATAAAAGCAGATATTAATATCAGGAATGAACGGGTCTCAGGTGCTTTGTGACTTACAAACTGCATGTGGCACCTTAGACATAGCTCAGTAGAATTCTCTTCTTCTCTGACATGGAGACAGCTGTTGGGAATGACTAGAAGAGGAGGGGGGTGAAAATAGGACACCCAGGTGATGAAATCCTAGGCCAGTCCTTCTGATGCAACAGCATCCTAGTAGGGGGATGGGATGTGCGATCCCCCATAGACTTACTGTAAATGTAGTTACAAGGTATTGACAAAGATACTTACCTACCCAATGCTGGCTCAGGATTGGTATATCGGAATATCTGATATTTGTCTGATATAGAAAACAAGCACATTGTTACTTTTAAAGGGTTACATCAAAACAAGTGAACACAATCTATACAAAAGGGTTTGTTGATAAAAATAAAAATAAAAAATAAATTTTTGAAGGATTAACAAGTAATTGCTAAATTTTAAGAAAAAATAAGCCAAACTGGGAAAATAGCAGAAATAGAGAAATAGTGGTTGTGGTAAATCGAGCTATAAAAAAATTCTTCAAACATGCTGTAAGTAACGCCTGACTGAGATCGCCTAAATGCAATTAAACACAATTAAAGCAGGGTTATTCACTCAAATCAAATCCAAATTGTAGCAAATTAAAATTAGAATTACAAAATTCAGGCGAAAATAGTCCCTGGTGAATATCTCTAGTTATTTTAGCTCACATAATTCCAGTCACATTTTAAATTTGGGATTTAGTCACAGTGAATTGGAAGTGTGAGGACAAAGAGTAAAACTAGAATCCAATTCTCCAAGTCAGCTGGGGAGAGGGGGTGGGGAGGTTATACACTCTGAATTGCAAAGTTTGGGCTAAAGTAGTGGGACTGGAGTCACAAACGGTTACTCACTTAAAGATAAATTGTAGCAAATTGAAATTCAAATGGAAAAATGCAGACTAAAATAATCAACTTATCAAATGAAGAATTTTTAGAAATCCACTACTTTAGCCTACATTTTGTCGTTCAAACTTCCCTTGCTACAATTTAGGGATTATTGAGCAAACTCCACAATTATGCCATCCAGAGTTATATTCTCTTCAGTTCAAGGGTTGGTGAATAAAAATCCATGTTTTCAACAGACTGTAAGCTCGTCCTATAGACTTTGAGCTCCTCCTATAGACTGTGAGCTCGTCCTGTAGACTGTGCGCTCGTCCTGTAGACTGTGAGCTCGTCCTATAGACTGTGAGCTCCTCCTATAGACTGTGAGCTCCTCCTATAGACTGTAAACTCCACCTATAGACTGTAAGCTCCTCCTATAGCCTGTGAGCTTGTCCTATAGCCTGTGAGCTCGTCCTATAGACTGTAAGCTCCTCCTATAGAATGTAAACTCGTCCTTTAGACTGTGAGCTTGTCCTATAGACTGTGAGCTCATCCTATAGACTTTGAGCTCATCCTATAGACTGTAAGCTCCTCCTATAGACTGTAAGCTCGTCCTATAGAATGTAAACTCGTCCTTTAGACTGTGAGCTTGTCCTATAGACTGTGAGCTCCTCCTATAGACTGTGAGCTCGTCCTATAGACTGTAAGCCCCTCCTATAGACTGTGAGCTCATCCTATAGACTGTAAGCCCCTCCTATAGACTGTGAGCTCGTCCTATATACTGTGAGCTCCTTCTATAGACTGTAAGCTCGTCCTGCAGACTATGAGCTCCTCTTATAGACTGAAAGCTCGTTTGAGCCCTATTTATAGTTAAATCTCCCCCTCATAATATTGTAAAGCGCTACGGAATCTGTTGGTGCTATATAAATGGCAATAATAATAATAATAGTAATGGATGCTTCTTCTACATGTTATCTAATCGTGTACGGTGGAAAAGGTCTGATTGGCTGAATCATTTCTGTCAAAAAAAAAAAAAAAAAAAGGTCGATATTCATCCATGTGGCCATTCAGCTCGTACAGATATTGTCCATGCAAAAATATTCAGAAAAAAAACCAATCCACACAAAATACAAAGGCGTAAAGATGTCCCAGTGTCCTGAAATATAGAAATGTTATGGATACTTTTTGCAGAACACCGACTGGGCGAGAAGGTGTCTGATTTTCCAAATGTTTACTTGACTAAAGATTTCAGAACAAACCAACCCCAAGCTAAGCAACTGAAACAGCAAATAAGGAAACGGAATTTTTTCTTCTTAATTTCGACCTTTCAGCTGCTAAATAGATAAATCCTTGATTTAATATCCTTCCGTGGGATGACCATAATTAGGGGGAAACAGAGACCTGTTGTGTTTAGTAGATAACTCCCTAATGTGGTACCCTTAAAATAGCACTTACATAATAAGGGTACCATTAGAGAGCTATCTACTAACAGCTGAATGAACAGAATGGTTTTGAAAAGGCTTTTCCTTATATTGATATTTCAGCTGTTTAGAAGATAGCTCCCTAATTTGCTGTCCTTTGTACATTCTATCATATCGCATATATCACATGCATTTACTGACTCTACAACCTCCACTGAGAGGATCTCCAAGTGTCTACTACCCCTTTTATATCACTATTAACCACTTCCACTGGAAGGTAATTCCAGGAATCTACAACTCTTTTTATATCATAACCTTCCAGCGGAAGTGGTAGAGGCTAGCAGTGATATAGAAAGGGTAGTAGATACCTGGAATAACCTTCCAGTGGGAGCAGTAACAGTGATATAGAAAGGGTAGTAGATACCTGGAATAGCCTTCCAGTGGGAGCAGTAACAGTGATATAGAAAGGGTAGTAGATACCTGGAACAGCCTTCCAGTGGGACCAGCAACAGGGTTATAGAAAGGGTAGTAGATACCTGGAATAGCCTTCCAGTGGAAGCAGTACCAGTGATATAGAAATGGTAGTAGACACCTGGAATAGCCTTCCAGTGGAAGCAGTAACAGTGATATAGAAAGGGTAGTAGATACCTGGAATAGCCTTCCAGTGGGAGCAGTAACAGTGATATAGAAAGGGTAGTAGATAACTGGAATAGCCTTCCAGTGGGAGTAGTAACAGTGATATAGAAAGGGTTGTAGATACCTGAAATAGCCTTCCAGTGGGATTAGTAACAGTGATATAGAAAGAGTAGTAGATACCTGGAATAGCCTTCCAGTGGAAACAGTAACAGTGATGTAGAAAGGATAGTAGATACCTGGAACAGTCTTCCAGTGGGAGCAGTAACAGTGATATAGAAAGGGTAGTAGATACAAGGAATAGCCTTCCAGTGGGAGCAGTAACAGTGATATAGAAAGGGTAGTAGATACCCGGAATAGCCTTCCAGTGGAAGCAGTTACGGTGATATAGAAAGGGTAGTAAATACCTGGAATAGCCTTCCAGTGGGAGCAGTAACAGTGATATAGAAAGGGTAGTAGATACCTGGAATAGCCTTCCAGTGGGAGCAGTAACAGTGATATAGAAAGGGCAGTAGATACCTGGAATAGCCTTCCAGTGGGAGCAGTAACAGTGATATAGAAAGGGTAGTAGATACCTGGAATAGCCTTCCAGTGGGAGCAGTAACAGTGATATAGAAAGGGTAGTAGATCCATGGAATAGCCTTCCAGTGGGAGCAGTAACAGTGATATAGAAAGGGTAGTAGATACCTGGAATAGCCTTCCAGTGGGAGCAGTAACAGTGATATAGAAAGGGTAGCAGATACCTGGAATAGACTCCCAGTGGGAGCAGTAACAGTGATATAGAAAGGGTAGTAGATACCTGGAATAGCCTTCCAGTGGGAGCAGTAACAGTGATATAGAAAGGGTAGTAGATACCTGGAATAGCCTTCCAGTGGGAGCAGTAACAGTGATGTAGAAAGGGTAGTAGATACCTGGAATAGCCTTCCAGTGGGAGCAGTGATATAGAAAGGGTAGTAGATACCTGGAATAACCTTCCAGTGGGAGCAGTAACAGGGATATAGAAAGGGTAGTAGATACCTGGAATAGCCTTCCAGTGGGAGCAGTAACAGTGATATAGAAAGGGTAGTAGATACCTGGAATGGCCATCCTGTGGCAGTGGTAGAGGCCAATAGTAAAACACATTAGTGGATATTTTACTTCACATCCAGAAGGCAACACTTAGGTTTCAATAGACAAGCTGTGATTATAGATCAATATATTGCCAATATGAGTATAGACAAGCTGTGATTATAGATCAATATATTACCAATATGAGTATTGACAAGCTGTGATTATAGATCAATATATTGCCAATCTGGATTTGAATATTGGAATTTTATCGAATAACCCTGATAGGAGAATGCAGTATTGGATTGTGGGAGCTGCACACAGCAGGTAAACCGGCTTGGAAACTCGTTTTTCAGGTTATGTTAATTGGACTCCTGGCAGAGTAAAGTGACAAACCCTGTTTATCAGATCTTCTGTGTGTTTAGGGTAAAGTTATAGAATTCGGCAATGATGTGCAATGTACGGGAGAGTCCCCAAACTGTCCCAGAATACTAAACTAAACCAGTCTGGATTACCGGGTTATTTAATAAAGTGAGAATTCGAAGTGAATTTCATATTTAAGGCCAGAGTAGCCGAGCTGAGAGCCAGGCTAAATGAGAGAATTATTCCAGTTCAGCTACTTTTACCTTAAATTCTCCTTGAATTCTCACCTTAGTGAATATCCCTGTTGATGTAAAATGAAGGAATAACTTGTTTCGTCATTTTGTATTTAACCATTTATCCTGGGACCGGCCCACAATGTAGTTATATAGAATAATCCAAATCGATAAATGCAAAATGAGTTATTCACTAAAATCCCAAATCGCTGTAAATTGAAATCCGAATTTAAACTAAAATAGGAAATATTCTCCACCACATCGTTAGTTGTAATTTGGGAATTTCTACAATAAAGTTTAGTGAGTCACTCAGAAAATGACCATAATTATTATTAATATTTTTCATAGTTGTCAGTCGTTCAGCTAGAACACGGCAGCCATTTTGATTTCCATGACAATTTAAAGGGGCGCTGTCGAACCGTCCTTAACATTTTCAAATTCCTCCCTCTTTCCTACTCTGTCTTTCTTTTTCTCTAACTAAAACCATAAGACAGAGTAAGGAGTACTTTGTCTCAGTATTGTTCCTTCACCTGACACATCTTTACACTGGGCGTAGCTAGCGCGCTCAATAAGTGATAATCCCTCAATTGTCGCCAGTGACAGATGCAAGGCATTGGCTCTGTCAGTAAAGGACCCCGCAGGATCCTCCATTGTCCTCATGCTATATTCTTGCACATGCGACCCCGCAGGATCCTCCATTGACCTCATGCTGTATCCTTGCACATGCGACCCTGCGGGATCCTCCATAGACCTCATGCTGTATTCTTGCACATGCGACCCCGCAGGATCCTCCATAGACCTCATGCTGCATCCTTGCACATGCGACCCTGCGGGATCCTCCATAGACCTCATGCTGTATTCTTGCACATGCAACCCCGCAGGATCCTCCATAGACCTCACGCTGTATCCTTGCACATGCGACCCCGCAGGATCCTCCATAGACCTCATGCTATATTCTTGCACATGCGACCCTGCGGGATCCTCCATAGACCTCATGCTGTATTCTTGCACATGCGACCCCGCGGGATCCTCCATAGACCTCACGCTGTATCCTTGCACATGCGACCCCGCGGGATCCTCCATAGACCTCACGCTGTATCCTTGCACATGCGACCCTGCGGGATCCTCCATAGACCTCATGCTGCATCCTTGCACATGCGACCCTGCGGGATCCTCCATAGACCTCACGCTGTATCCTTGCACATGCGACCCTGCGGGATCCTCCATAGACCTCATGCTGTATCCTTGCACATGCGACCCTGCGGGATCCTCCATAGACCTCATGCTGTATCCTTGCACATGCGCGAGAGTACAGCAGTGATACCGGCTCCTGACGCGCACCTGCAAAAGAAGGTTTAAGAAAGTAGAATTCACCTTTTCTAACCCCACCCCAGGTCCCCGGACCACCACTGGCAAAGATGTCACTGTCGAGGGTCTTTGCAAATTGTGCAATGTCCCCAGACTGATTGAATGCAGTGCCGGTGAAGTAATTGAATTCGGTGACGGGTTCTTACCGCTACAGAAGGAGATTCTAAAAATGAAAGTAAGTGTGAGGCTGTTAAAGTAATACAACATTTACACAAGGTGTAGTTTTGTAGGTGTGTAATCAGAGTTTTAATCATTACTGGTATATGATTCAGTAATGTGTGAATTGTCACGAATTTAACATTTTAGACTAGAAATAGCCAAAGAGGTAATGATGGTCCAGGCACTCAAGTTCAATCCAGTGGCAGATTTATTGGAGCAGAATCAAAACAATGTTTCTACCCATGACAGGGGGCAGCTGGTTTAGAGGAGTGTCAAACTGCAATCATTATTGACCACTAGGGGGTCTGTGGGGTTTACCACTAAGGGGTCTGTGGGGTTTATTATAGTGAATTAAAAACTCATTTACAAAATGTAGCCTAAAGTAACTGATTTAAACTATGCCTCTATATTATCTTGCTAAAGTACCAGATTGGCTTTTTTTATCCTACATTTTGCAGTGTGGTTTGCAATTCTCTGGTCGGTGAATTCGCCCCTTTGTGAACTCAGAAAGCCAATCGTGCTACACAGCAGCGGACTCAGCAGGAAGCAGCAAAGCATATTGAAATCACATGTAGATTGCAGCCTAGTCCTGAGACGGAAGCCAGGAGGCTGAGCACAGAGGATGCTGGGATGCACTATTCAGTCAAAGGTGAGAGAGTGGGCAGCGCTGCCAACAAAGCTCCTTTTATTAACCTTTTTATCTTAGTGTGCCCACATTTATCAGATGCTTTCCTGTTCTCTCGCTGTGTTGAGTATGGCATGGAAAGTGCATTATATGAAGAATGTCTGCCGTAGCAAAGAAATAATTTGATTAGTCAAGAAAAAAGACCCCAAGCACCATAACCACTACAGTCCTGATTCCCCACACCACCCCTGTGAGAAGTCAAACCATTTGTGACATCAGAGGATCACTCTTAAATAATGAGTCTGGCACTGTTGGGTTGGGGGTATTAGCTGTGAGCGTCAGCTGACACTCGTTGATACATAGTTGTAGCAGCCGGCACTGTAATGATTCAATATTATCAAACAATGCTGTTATCGCTGTTACCACCTCATCACTGTGATTGGGCAAATACCCCGATAATCTGCCCTAAACCATACCCCTCAACATTGGCATCCCATGAAGCAGGACACAGGTAAGCAGGGTAAAACGGGCCAGTGAAGCGAATCACATCACTGGTGCCGTCCAACTGGGGACTGAAATGGGGACAGTTTGACCAAAATTGGGACTCTTGGGAGGCCTGTCCTCAAATCTGATTGGAAACACCCTGAACCTCTCTTTCACCTTAATCTATGGAATAAGGTACAAACACAATGTACTCCAGTCCCAGGGTAAGGGGCAAACACTGGCAAACTACCCCTACCAGTAACCGAATAGATAGAAACCCACGTAACAAAAGCTATGAATCGGTCATCTCCCTAGTCTCAAGGTGAAGAATGGACGTTATCTGAATGCATTAGTAGCCATTAAATGTATAATATTATCTTAAGGGCATCTTGATCCACAATTTAAAATCCATCAATACAGGATCTTTATTTAAACAAGCTCATTGCAATTACTTCCTGCCTCTAGCCTGCAATGTTATCAGACCCCAGATTTACTGCGAATCATGACAGGTGCCATATGGGCAGGAGGAGCTGTCTACTACCTTATTCCAACCCACCCCTGATAAAACACTGACACTCTTAGGTATTGGTCAATATGTCCACAGCTTTAATTTTACTGTAATCATAATAATAATAGCAATAACATATGAATAACTTTTTAAAGTCATTGCCCACCCCGTAATCCTCAGCCATCCAACATTATCATTTCCCCACATATCGACTGAAAATCCACCCCACCGAGATCACCCAACAAGTTTCCCGATCAGTGACTGCAGTTGCTTCAACATGACCTTACGAGACCAACAGACTCCAGCCACTGCCTTCTCCAGCCCCAGGAGTTTGTCCTGGGGAAGACGACAGTAGGTCACCAGAGGTGTACAGGCAGCGGAGTTCCAGGGACAGGCATGACAGGTCGAGTAGTGGGCACTCCCAGGGGCACCGAGCACAGGGTCCATGCTGGAGGGAACAGCGCCTGGAGTATGGTTCAGATGGCAGTGTCCCCCCCGGGTTCCCGTTCCCACTGGCTGTTGGTGTCCAGCGATTCCTCGCAGGGTCACACAGGGGAGTTCTAGACGGGCTGCACACAGACGGCCTCATGCTCATTGCAGGAGTCGCGGCCCCAGGAGCAGTGCGGGATGCTACGGGGGCCTCCCGGCAATCCCAGGGCATTGACGGAGGAGCAGAGTGAGAATATGACAAGCTGCCCAGGAGTTCTTTTTTGTTTCTGGGCGTTTGGTGCACCGTATTGTTATGTTGGTTGGCGAGCAGAGGACGGTGGCGGCGGATACTGGACCCGGTGGACCTCGTGGAGCAGCCCACATGCCTTCGGTGGCGGAGGACTTGGCCGGTTCATCTGGAACTATTAAACCTACACAGGGATTGATTGACACAGACATTGTCCGTGCGGGCGTGCACGTCCGACAGTGGGGAGGCGGGCGACAAGGCAGCTTCGGCAGCGGATGGTGACGGGGAGAGGGCATTGTTGACAGGTGGAATTCTGGATGCTGCACAGCAAAATGCTTATGTCTCTGTCACGGGGCCGTTGGGGGTTCAGCTTAAGCAGGAAGTGAAGGATAAGATCTGGAAGGGTGATTTTGTTGAGGTGTTCTCTCTTCTTCAATTATTGAGCTTCAGGAAGACGACAAAAAGGACGCCAAAAAGGAGGAGGTAGAGAAATAGAAGCGCTATAGGAAGATTCCGAAGTCTTTCAGCAACTGGCTGTGGGCTTTTTGTATATTGGCCTGCATCATTGGCAAGAAATCTCCAGGGATTTGTTCCTCCCTGTTCTGCTATCTCAACG